ATATATATATATATATATCTGTGTGTGTGTGTGAATTAAGAGGCTTGAGCCCTTGTCATTTGCTTTAAAAATTAAGGAACTTGCCATCCATCCACCATGTTTAAGTATGACTAAAGTTGTAAAATATATTATATATAGTATTTATAAGACCCATAGTATATATATGTATATGCCATGTCACACGGTTTGAGTCGTTTGGCCCTGGTTGAACCTCTGATCTGTTAAACTCTCCCTTTTCCTATTCTTTGAACATTTTTTAAAACAGGGGCTGATTGATTAGCTAGATCAAGTCAGGAAGGCCATTTTTGAATAGTGGAAACACGCCTGTTTGGTTGGGCTGCATGTTTTATTGATTTTTTTGTCTTTCATGTGCATCCTCCCATGAACATTAATCAATCAGAATAATTAATTATACGAAGGGGGACATAAACTCTCTTAACTCCCCAGCAGAGGCATGAACCCCCACAAAGAGAAAACCAGAATTACAACTGAGCCCAAAATATAGATTCCCTGTCCACCCCTAGTTTAGCCAACTCATCAGCAAACGAATTAGCAGATCTCTTCACTCAACTGAACTTTATTTCCATGTCCTTAACTAGCCATCTGAATTTTCTCCTTTTGTTGTTGTAGTTCCATAATCCAGCCTTGTCTTCTTGCAGCCACCCTACTACCACCTCTGAATCCCCTTCAATTGCAAGCCTTTTAATGTTCATATCCTTTGCTCTTTGGGCACCTTCCAAGACTGCAAAGATCTCAGCCCTGAGAGAGTCTCCACTCCTGATTGGGCCTGAGAACAGAGCTAAAACAGTCCCATTCTCATCCCTAAATACACCCCCTATTCCTGACTGCCCAGGATTCCCTCTACTACTACCATCGAAGTTCAGCTTTATAAATCTAGAGGGGGGAGGGGTCCAAGACAGACTTAGACCCGTTTTGACCTGGGCACTGCTAGCAATCTCTCTCCAATTCCTTGGCAGATCATCCACAGTAAAATTGTGAATAGGTCCGATGATTTCAACCACTGAACTACCCTGATGTGAATCAGCTCTATCAAATTTTCAACACTTCTCTCTCTTTCAGAGAAAAATCTTGAATTCCTTTCTTGCCAAACTGACCAGCACATCGCAGCCCCTAGGCATCTCCACATAGTTCTGCCCCTTTTCAAATGCTACCTGAAAAAAGAACAAAAAAGGCTCTGTGCATCCACAGGGGGGTTCCACCCAAACCCGAAGAGAGAGAAGGCCCATTTCCAAATAGTTTTGGCAACCCGGTAAGAAATCAAAAGGTGAAAACCAGTCTCCCCATCAGCTTTACAAAGAATACACCTATGAGGGGATAATCAAGTCTTGGGTCTCTTTCTTTGAAGCAGATTACTAGTGTTGATTCTATTCAGAAATAATTCTCAACAAAAACTTCCAACTCTAGGAGGAATTGGCTTATGGGATTATCTGGCTGAGTCAAGACTTTAAAGAATGAAGCACAAGAGAAGGAACTTGAGGGGGTGGGGATCCAAATTCTAGTGTCTTCCTTAGTGGGGTCCAGGAAAACATTTTCAAGAAAACCCAGGAGAGCCAAAGTGCTGTGCAGATCTGCATCTCTAACAGCCCTTCTCAAGCCCAGGTTCCAACCAAACTCAGAAGTTGAGGAAGAAGGGACAATGAAGGAGGATATGGGCTTATTTTTAGGTCGGAGAGAGAATACAAAGACGGAAACTGGTCCTTCAAAGGGGAATTACCCACTCAGGTCTGTTCCTAGAATTTTATGAGGTTGCTTGAGTTTAAATCATACTTGATTAAAGGGGAGAAGATAGGTAATCCTCCCAGGAACATTCCTTCGTTTTTTTACCGAATGTTGTTCTTTTCTCAAAAAAAAAAAAAAAACGAAAGTTTTATTTATTCCTCTTTGATGGAACATGTGCAATGGGCAATAAATATCTTTAATATTTTTTCAGACTAAGATGAATACTACATCTAGCTTCTAAAGGAGACTTGATGTGATTCCCAAGTATGTTGGTTGATGGTGTAATGTTAGGTATATATTACTAAACTTAGAAACCACATTGGGAAGGCAGCATGTACATTAGATGTATGCTATAAGGGGCGTATTGCTATATACACCATCATTATTGTTGATTTCATATATCTGCTTTCTTTTGTTTTCAAGTTAATCAGTTTATTAACAAAAATAGAGGCATGGCATGAGTACGAAAATTCTATTTTGCAGATCATGGCTATGGTGCAAAGAGGGGAGAAACCTCCTGGCATCAAAGTAATCCATTTCTTCATTCCCTTCACAAAATGGGATTTAACTGGCTATGTTGGATTGCAACATTAATTTTGTCTTGTTTTGGTCTGGTTCCAGGAAATCAACGACCTACCTCCCAATCCAAACCAGCCACCATCAAATCCTCGTTTAGCACCTAGAATGAAGGTTTGCCTTTGGAATATTTTTAAAATTTTAACTTTAAATATTGGATGAAATTTGCCTTATTTTTGAACGAACAAGGGAATTTTGAATAGATATCAAATTTGTTTTTTGTTTTGGAATAGAATGATTAGTTCATTTCCTTTGTTTTATTGTTGTTTGCTGGACTCCAATAATCAATTCCATTTTCAAAGTTAACACGGTATTCTTGACTATCATGGTGTTTGGAACCAATGCCATTTCCTGTTGTGTTTTTTGAGAAAATGGCACTGCATTGGCATGGCATTTTCTCAGAAAATGTTTTTTTTTTTTTCCTTTTATTTTTCTATTTGGTACTATTGCTGTTGCTGCCATATAGACGTTTTTCAATGCCATGTCAGCTTACCATTGCTAGCATCAGTAAAAAATGAGAAAACACCAAAAAGGGCATTTTCTCAAATCACACCTTTCCTGATTTCCAAGGCGTGGTCTGAGAAATGTTGTTTTTGGAAAAACGCATAACCAAACATCAGGAATTGTCTGAAAAATGGATTTTAGATGTGGCATACTGGTGTGACACCTTTTTTCAAATAAATGGCATTGGCTCCAAACACCAGCTATAACATCCTTTTGGGGGGTCATCAGATGATCTGTGCATCTATAAATCAATCCCCTTCTTGATACAGAGAAGACTTCCTATTATGACCTTTCAAAAGACAGATGAATTCAAGAAGATTGGAACTGAATATTGAATAGCAAGCTGAATTAAATAGAACATTTAATGAAGTAAATGGAGTCAATGAATGGTGAAATTGATGATTTTGTTGTTACAATTCCACGTGTTCAAATAACATTGGGAACTTTACTTTCAGTGGCAACCTAGTTGTACTTGTTTTTTTTCTTGTGTTTGTGGGCTCTATGCTGACCTGTATTCTATCTCGTTCGTTTCCTTGCCACCATGTTCTTCCTTTAGCAGGGGTTCACTTCTTTCTTATCATTAATGAAAGCATTCTGATTTTTATTGATTAAAAAACTAATAAGTAAATGTGTAAGTAATCAGTTGCTTTTAAATTTAATTAAGTTTTTTTTTTTTTTTTTAATTTCTGAGCAGCCATGGGAGGTTGGTCAGGCTCAGAATAGCTCTAGCTACACCCTTCAGTCCCAAACAAGCGGTGAAAACTCAAGTTACAAGGTAGAAGATAATGGTTCTGCCTCTCAGTTGAATGGTTACAGCTCAGAGCCTTGGTGGCAACGGAAAAATGTGAGAATCTCAGAAATTGAAGATGAGAATGATCAAAGGATAGCCTCATATGGCATAGTTCCTGTGGCCAATGAACGTCCTGTCCAGCGTACATGGGTTCCACCACAGCCCCCACCGGTTTCCATGCCTGAAGCTGCTGCAGCAATCCGACAACCAAAATCCATAATTCAGAAGGAGCAACCAAGTAATGACCAGGTGATGGAACGCTCCTCAGACGAAGTTGATGAGTTGCAGAGGATTACAAAACTATCAGAGTTGGGAGGTGAAGTGGATCTCAACAATAGCGGTAAGAACTTGGAGATAAGCGAGATACAAGAAGAGCAGAGTGGTATTGAAGGGAACTGAGTTGGAATCAGATATATGAGGTCTACTTGGTCAGCTAGCACTAGCAGTGGTTATCCATGCTACTAAAGATGATGTTAATAATTAGTCATTCTCATCTTGATTACCATGATGAAGATGGTAGATAATAATGTTTTACGTTTTTCTATTTCCCATGTTTGTACTGCATACTGAATACTGATTCAGTGCATGTAGCCATATTACAAGAAGGTGAGGGAAATGAAATGATAAATATTCTGCATCTCCATTACATATTGACAAAACAAGTTGTAAGTTGAAGTGGTTTGAAGGGTTAGGGAAAACTAAAAAAGACATAGAGTTAAGAAATGATTTAAGTGTTCATAATTTAACATATTTAAACAAATGGAATGGTGAAACAGGATTAGTTTAGCCGATGATGATATTGATTAATGGGTCTTGCTGTCTGTGGTGTTTAACCGGTCGGTATTTTTTTAGCGTGGTTTCACATTAGTACTATATGAACTTGAAGTCGCACTCTATTTTCTGTTTTTCTCTTTATCATGGGCTGCCAGCCAGGTAGTGATGTATGGATACGGATGGAGAGTCGGAATTCCATGCATGTCCAAGTGTCTGACTTGGCAAGATGAGAAAACATGGACTTGTAGATGTGTCATGGTAAAGTATATACATTATTAAAATAATTTATATTATTTTAAATTCTAACACTATATGCCTGTAAATAGGGAGTCAAACGATGAGAAAACATGTTGGCTTGTTGTTATCAAATAATCAAATAATGTTGAACATACAAAAAAAAGGCATTCATACCTTAGGCTGCATTTGGTTGCAATGCGAATCTGGATTAGATAAATCTTTCTTCCGGTTTGATTTTACATCTATTTGTCCGCAAACTATGAATTGCACTTTTACTTGATACAAAATTTGTTTTTTTTTTGTTTCATTTGTACTTGTTGGCACTGTAAAATTTTGCATCTTAAAAATGGGAAAATCTATGATGCGGAAAAGGTATGGTACGGGAAGAGTTAACTAATCAAAACCCCCTATGAATTGGCTACCACRTTTATGATTCCAGTTGCTTGGTCAGAAGTTTTTCAGATATCATATCTTTTCTATATCATAGTTGAATCACTTAAAAATTGATGCAAAATTTGCACCACCTTTCCTTTGAGACTTGCCTCAAGTCTCTCCTATAAAACTGAGGACTACATCTGAAATCGGATTTCCTCACAAAATTGGTCCTCACAGCCCTTGCAACCATGCATTTGGGAATATCTCCCCATTAAAAATCATTCAAGTATGGAAATGTTCCCATGTGTGGCTGCAAGCACTGTGAGGTGAGTGTGAGGAGGAGATCTGAGCTTACATTATCTTTTTCCTACCTCACAGACAAATAAGACAAAGTCAAAAGCTGATGCAAAAGCAAATCAGAATTTACACTCGGCCTATTTGTAGTCTCATGCAAGACAATTTGGCAACAAGTGCCCAACTAACCTCCGTTTTCCTTTGTTTTCCCTTGTAATAAATATTCTAAGCATAAACACGAGTACATGATAACATGATCAAGTTATTACAATGAGGCAGCAAATTTATTCTTAGCCTTCTGAATAGATAATTGTTTCATTAAGAGGTTTAACATATCAAACATATCAAGATATCCAGGTAGAGTGTCACGTCAATCAGAGTTAATAACCATCTGAGCTATCTCATTCTTTGTTATGGTCAGAGAATGATTCTTTTTTGAAGAATAAGAATTAAATTCATAAAAGAAAATAGATTACAATAAGAAAGGTGATAAGAAATCACCCGAGAGAGACATTCACGAGTGGTATCAGAATAGTCTTGATGAGAGTCTGGTGATGATAGTTTGATTATCCAACTGATTGATTGTTTTTACCTCAAGACCTCCGGGGGTTCTCTTATTCTCATGTAAGAATGGCTATAGATGTTGCATCTAGAATATCCCACATTTTTTCATCAGTAATCTAGAATATCTGACATTCTTCCTCATCATGAAATTTTTTTATGTCATAGAAAATTGTAATCAACAATAGGGATCAAACCATAACAATCAACTGATTCCATCCTCTGGACATACCTCCCAATGGTTCCAGTAAGGCACGAATTAGTATTTATTGATGACAGCCATTGCCAAATTGATTTTTAATTACTTGGAGGTGGGTTGCAGTTGGCATAGAGAACTGTGACTTAAACACTAATTAAAAAAATTTGGTTTGCAGAGGCACCACCTGCCATGTGATCTCATCTTTCATGTTGTTCTAGAACAATTCACATCTGCTGCACCATCATCCTACCGGAGAATCAGCAAATATGAATTTAATTCCTTGCTAACTGCCTTGTGACCTCATATTTCATATTGTTCTGGAACAGTTCCCATCTGCTGCATCATTTTTTTTCCTGTTTGAAGTAGCTTACTGGAGAATCAGCAAATATGAACTTCACTACTAACTAAAATATTCTCCATGGTTGTGATGCTTGATGGGAACTAAACCTGCTTTAACTGGGTGGATGTAGAGATCTTCAATGTAAAAATCATGTGTTTAGGAAAGCATCATTAACCTCATGCAAACCCATTAACTGGGATGTATTTGGTACATAGCCTTCCATCTTCAACCACAAAAGCATGACATCCAACGTTTCATATATCTCCTCAGATCTTGTGTGCGATTTATCAGCAACCAAGAACTCATAGGATTGACCATCTATCTTTATGGAGCTACATCCAGGAGTCTTCTTGACACCCCTGTCTCTCATCATACTTCTGACCATCCTCACATCATCCCATCTTCTCCTAGAAGCATACAGATTTGCTAGAAGGGCATAAATCCCGCTATCTTTAGGGTCCAAATCTAGAAGTTTATCTGCAGCAAGCTTACCCAACTCCACGTTCCCATGCATCTTACATGCATTAAGAAGAGCACCCCAAGCAGCTTCATCTGGCTCCATGGGCATTCTCTTTAACAACTCTTTGGCCTCTTCCACAAGTCCAACTCGTCCTAATAGGTCAATCATGCATGCATAATGTTCTGCCTTGGGTTCTATTCCATACTCTACTCTCATGTCCTCAAAATATTTCTTACCTTGGGTGACCAACCCCCCATGACTACAAGCCGATAGGACACCAACAAAAGTGATATCATCAGGCACTAATTCTAAATTCCTCATTTGCTCAAAAAGACCAAGGGCCTGGTCAGCATATCCATGAGCCGCATACCCTGCAATCATAGAATTCCAAGTCACTAAATCCTTATCTTGCATCTCATTGAAGAGTTTTGCAGCTGCATCAATATCCCCACATTTAGCGTACATATCTATAATTGCATTTGTCAGAATAACACTGGGCTGAATCCTTTTCTGACCAACATAGTGTTGGTGAATCCACCGACCAAGATCGAGGCATTCTGATTGAGCACAGGCAGAGAGAACACAAACAAGAGTACTCTCTATTGGCACCACACCCAACTCCTTCATCTCATGGAACAGTTCCAATGCTTCATTAGGTTGATTATTCTGTGAATAACCGGCAATCATTGCATTCCAAGACACCACATTCCTCTCAGGCATCTCATCAAACAATTTTCTTGCAAAATTTAGATCCCCCTGTTTTGCATAACCATTGATCATAATCGTCCATGAGAAGGCATCTCTAACTTCCATCTTTTCAAATATTTCTCTTGCAGTGTTCAAGCAACCACACTTTACATACATATCCGCCAAAGCGTTCAACAAATTTAGGTTACAATTGACCCTGTTCTTCTCTATATATTCATGAACAATTTTTCCTAGTCCAATATCCCCCATCTGTGAGCAGGCAGAGAGCACTGTAATCATAGTAACCTCATTGGGTGTAATGCCGCTCGATAGCATTGCGTAGAAGAGATTCAGAGCTTCATTGGGAAGATTTTTCTGGGCAAACCCGTCGATCATAGTGGTCCAAGAAACAACATCCCTTACAAAGCTTGTATCAAACAAAAGACGAGCAGAACTTAAAAACCCATATCTAACATATAAATGGATCAAACCATTCTGAACTAGCAAATTCGTATCAAAACCCAACTTGTTAATCAGACAATGGAGCTGCTCACCCTCAACAGCTCCAGGAGACTGCTCACAAGCCTTGAGAGCAAAGACGAAAGTCCGATTGTCCATCTCAACTTGCTCTTGGACCATCTGGCGGAACAAAGGTAAGCCCAACTTCGGAAGCTTGGCCTTACAGTAGCCCCTGATCATTGTATTCCAAATATAAGTATTGGGCTCGGCGATTTGGGAGAAGATGATCTTGGCATAGTTTATGTCGCCGAAGTCGGAGAGTGCACAGAAGGACAAGACCCGGCTTACCGGGAAAAGGTGCATAATGAGTCCAGTTCGGGTCATATGGGCTTGGATTTGCTTCAACTCTGACATCGAGTTGCAGGATTCCATGGTTAAGAGAACTGGGTTTGTGATCATCAAATTGCTGTTTATGTTCCACTTGGGTTTTTGGGCAGAGGCAGATGAAAATGATCTGAGACATTGGAAAGTTATTTGTGTTCTCTGAAGTTGTCGAAGGAGAGGAAAGAGAAGAGGAGGAGGAGTAAGAGGTTGAAGCATGAATAAAATGATACGTATTACGTAGCTTTCATGTGCAGAGAGAACTTAACAGATAACGCAGGGAAGAAGCTGGACAACAGACTATTCGAATTTTGGCGGTAGACTAGAAATTGGATCAATTGGCCCGCCGGCGCCGGATGGGTAGAAGCCTAGAAGTCTAGAACGCCCCTCTTCTCCTCTGCTCTACTATATATTCAAAAAAGCCCGGTGACGGCGAGTTCCAGAAAGCAGTTGCTTAATGTACCGGCCCCGTTCAGGCAACTCGCATTTTAGTCATTTCCCGTTTGCTTGCTTGGAAAAGGATATAGTTGCCATGTCGTGTGGAGAATACATGCAAAGCCCATTTGTAGGAGTTATAAGGAGTTTTTTGGTTATATCAACTCGTCTCACACCTTAACTAAATAGTCTTCAAACTGTTAAGATTTTAAAGTAAAAGCTCACTACGTCTTTTGAACGTCAAAACTTTCAGAAGATCTTTCGAAAAACACTTATCAAAGGGCCCTGGATTCGGAATTCATTGCATTAAGCTACGGTTGTGATGGTGTGCAATCTAACACTCCCTGCTAGCGAACATCTCGGACATTGGACTTGGTAGGTTGTGCGAACAAACTACAAGAAAAAAGTAATCAGATTCCTCGAGTTGCTCGACCCGTGGTGGGCATTTCGATGCTTAAGTCAACAAACTTGGAATATGATTGCAAAAATCAAGAGAGCTAGAGTGCTTGAGGGCTTAAAATCGCACSTACTTTGTGAGGTTGAAGGAGAGGCCTTTATATAGGAAAGTTGCCGCGAGGCTCACGAAGTGCATCCAAGATTTCCAACCCTTTTGGTTCGGAGGTGGTTTTATGCCTGGAGGTGGACTCTGTGTAAACAAGTAGTGTTTATCCAATCACGCCCAAAGCGGGTGGGGTGATAACTGGCTTTTCCGACATGGCATCGTGATCCCGGGGAAGTCGGAGACAATAGTTTTCTTAAGGAGGCGGTTGCCCAATATGTCAAGTAGGTCACTAACTGAAGTCGAGTCAAATCAGCAGAAGTAGGTCGCCTCTTACGCCAACCCGATGTCTTGCCAGGCTGTTCGTAGTTCGGCCTACCGAAATGGTGTCGAGGTCGTCAAGGTGAGCGCGAGGTGTCCGAAGCACTCTCGTGGTCTACTTATGCGGTGTTGAGATGTTGCACAACTGTCATGATATGCCACGTGTCATCACGTCATTGGAGAGCCAAATCGCCCTTCATCAATTGCCCTCACTCCCAAGTTTGATGCTGGTTCGAGGAAGGGAGTAGCTCATTACCAATCTCCGTTCCGTTGTGACTCGTCCGGTCGGTTTGCAATTTGCCTAACTTTTTCGCTCGACTCGGCTCAAGGGCAGACTAGCGCGTTTGGCAAGTTCAAATTTTAAATTGGGCGCACAATTTTATAAAATTCAAATTCACCTGCAAGCAGTGTGATCCTCTCAACCGTCGATCTTTTGTCGTGACACCTCATCCGTTGATTTTCCGCGACCATGGCTATAAATAGGGGGTCCCATTCATACTGTTTTGAGTTTTCTTACAAGAGAGTGAGGCAAGAGGTTGGAGGCAAATTCTATTGGGAGGTCGCTATTAGTTCGATGAGCTAAATCTGGTTAGGCGAAGTCAGTCTTTCTTTCCCAAAAAGTTGGTGAGTCTTTTTCCCTCTTCTTTTAGTCATGTCTTCGAGTGAGTCTAAAGGGGGGTCTTCCTACTTTGCTCGGGCCGAAGAAGGGACTTCGGCACGAGATTGGCAAGGTTCCCATACAGGGACCTCAACTCTCAGCGAGAGCTAAACCTGTTCATGGGCCAGGGTTTGGGCCTGAATTTACACTATGTCGGGCTCAGGCTTCAGGTCGGGCCCATTCAAATTTTGGCAAAAGCTAGGTTTAAGCCTCGCCCATGAACAAGTCTAGCGAGAGCCACAGTCGAGCTCCCAATTCGGTTCCACCGAGCTAAGCAAGGAAGAAGTCATTAGTTTGGTGTCTTCTTTCCACATCCTGAATGATTTCAACTGCACTTTGCCTGGCTTGGACCAATTCCCATGGAGCCATGGCCGCGGCGAAGTCTGTGCTTTTGAGGAGGCATTGATCGCCGACCTCCAATTTCCTCTCCATCCTTTCATTGTCGAGGTACTCTCCCATTATAGTATTTGTTTGCGGCAACTCCATCCAAATTCCATCCAAACCATCATGGGAACAATCTCTCTCAACTACTATCTTGACTTCCCTATGGACATAGATATCTTCTCGGGGTTGTGCGGCGACCCTATGTCAATGGAGCCCACTCAAGTTGTCACAGGTTTGGCTGCCTCAACGCCCTAGGTCACCCTGGAGCGCACTGTCGGCCCCTCAAACTATGACATACCTCGTTTTGTCTCCAATATCAATGTTTCGATTACCAATCGTCTAATCAATCCTTTGGTTACTCTACGAGTGGGGAGGGGGATTCTTCTTCTTGAGAACCTCCAATACTACAATGGGCTCGATCCTACTAATGTCAACACAAGGATGAATCGGTGCATCCTGCTGGTTTGTGATCTTCATTTCTAATGTTTGCTTTCCTTTCCTTCCAAGCTCCACTACTATTATTTCTTCTTTGCAGATGAGCTCAATGGGCTAGGTCTTGTTGAATCAGGTCGCTGGGTCAAAGTGTGAAAGGCGGGAGATGCAGGTGAACATAGAGGCCCTACAGGTCCAACTGGAGGGAGCTTGCTTGAGCGTCGAGGCTACCCACCACAGTGTAGAGGAGGACTGCAAACGCTTCTACGAGCTTAGTGTTGGCATGTAGCGTAAGCTAGAGGAGGCCAAAGGGACCATTGCTACTCTGATCGACGAAGTGCGAACTAGGGATCGTCAGCTCAAAGAGCGGCGAACTAAGTATACTGAAGACACTCATCATGCTGAGGTCACAACAGTATACTGCATCCCAACTTCACTAAGTATACTGAAAGCACTTAAGTCCCTGCATCCCAACTTCAATTTTGGTACTCTATCAGTTAGATCGATACCAGACAATCTGGTCGTATAGGTTGACCAAGAGCCTCTGACTCCAAATGAAGAGGCTAACGAAGTTGGCGATAAGGTGGAGGACGGAGGCACGGATGAGGTCGGCGATGGTCAAGAGGGGGATGAAGAAGAGTAGCTATTGGTGGGGAATCCTTATTCATGTCTTCTGAGAATTATTGTGCTTAGAGCCTATGTGCTCTTGAATATTTTTTCTTATTTTGCCTTCTCTACTATATCCCTTTTCTTTCCTCTTCTTCTTCTTCTTCTTCTTTTTGTTGCTTTTTTTTTTTGAATGAAGAGATCGGTTTTTCTGTGCACAGTGTTCCTCCTTTCACATCTTTTATTTTCTATTTCTAAAAAAATAGGCTTAGTGTAGAATGCTTGTCAAGCTGACAAACTATACACTTCCTTGGCTAAGTCCCATGATTTTGACTAAGTCAAAAATGTTGCTGAACTAGGGATCTCCTCGGCTAAGATCGAAGCACGACTGAGTTGCAAAACTTTTGATTTCTTCCGGGCTTCCCCTTATTCATTTATTTATTTGATTAGGTCGCCATAGCAAGCGATCTACATTGTTGTACTTTGTATCATTGGTAATTCTCGCAGATGCAGCTCAAAATTCCAAACTCCTCACAAGTAATATCTCTTTAAGTTGCGAACATTCCATGCATGGGGTACTTGCCTCCCTTCCAAGGTTTTGAGCCTGTACGTGCCTTCATCGATCACTTTGAGAACTATGTAGGGGCCTTCCCAGTTTGGACCTAGCTTTCCTATGTCGGCTTAGGTACCATAACTTTCTTGAGTACCAGGTCGCTAACTCAAAATTGGTGTCTCTTAACTCGGGCATTATAGTACTGAGCTACTCATTGCTAGTATGTCGCGGTCCAAAGGTAAGCTAAGTCATGAACTTCCTCCACCAGGCCGAGGTTTGTCCGCAACTCATCCTCGTTAGCTTCCTTTGTACGTCTTGGAACGCAAGGTAGGCACTTTGATCTTGGTTGGGATGATGGCTTCTGTCCCATATGTTAGGTTGAAAGGAGTCTCGCTAGTCACCATCTTGATGGTAGTTCAGTAGGCCTATAGAACAGTAGGCAGCTCATCCACCCACAAACTCTTATCTCGGGAAAGTTGGGCTTTTAGTTTGTAGAGGATTGCCCTATTGTCACTTCGGCATGGCCATTCACCTGGGGTTGGGCCACCAAGGTGAATTTCTACTAGATTTCCATCTCGGCACCCCAGTTCTAAAACTTGATGTTTTTGAATTGCTTCCCATTGTCATATATCAGTACCCTAGGGAGTCCTAATATGTAGATGATGTTCCTCCAAAAGAAATTTTGCACGTTCCAAGTTGTGATTGATACCAGCAACTCGACTTCCACCCACTTCATAAAGTAGTGCACCGCAACCACCAAGAACCTCCTCTGCCCCGTCGCAGGTGGGAAGGGACCAAGGATATCTATCCCCCACTATGCGATTGGCCATGAGCTGGTAAGGTACCTTAGGTCGACAGTCGGTTGGTGTGGTATGTTGGCATATTACTGGCAGTTGTCGCATTTCCAAACTAACTCTATTGCATCTGCCTTCATTGTGGGCTAGCAGTAGCCTTATGGTAGGGCTTTCTAGGCCAGTGCTCTACCCCCAAGTATCCTTCGTAGAGACCTTCATGGATCTCGCATAACACTTGATTTGCGTCTGTTGGATGTAAGCAACGCAAGTAGGGGAGCATGAACGACCTATGGTACAACTACTCGCCAATGATAATATAGCAAGCTGAATACTGCTTTACCCTCCGAGCTGTGTTGCATTCCACTGGGAGGGTCCCATGGTGTAGATAGTCAACAATCGGGTCTATCCAGCTCGGTTCTAAACCAAGATGAGAGCGACCTCCTCTGCCACTCTTTCTATGCTAGGTTGTGGTAGGTCTTCGATGTAGACTATCCTCTTCATAGCGTTTGTTGCACTGACCCGCTTTAAGAGCGTGTTGGTCTCAATGTTCTTAGACTTCGTAACTTGTTGTATGTACCAAGAGCAAAAATTGGGTAGGAGCTCTCTAACATTAGCTAGATAGGCCATAGGCCAACATGATGGACTCCTAGACCTCATATTGCTCGTTTACTTGATTTACCACTAGTTGTAAGTCACTGTAGACGACAAGATGTTTTGCACTGACCTCCTTTCCTAGTGACAACCCAACTATCAGGACCTCGTACTAGGCTTTACTGTTCGATGCTTGGAATGCGAATCAGAGGGCGTACTCCAATTTGACCTCGCTAGGTCCATAGAGAATTAATCTGGCACCGC